AAGTGCTAAATGATGGGAGAGACCGAGCGAGTGAGCGAGAGCGAGAACATGATGAGCCACGTGAGGTTGGCTTAGACACTGCAGGCCGGTTACGTAAACACCCCCCGCTCCGTCGCCTCATGGACTCAGCAGACACCGCGCCTCTCCAATCCCTCCGCCTGCTGCTGGGCCATGCTTTTTTCTCTTCCCTCACATGGCTTCTCACATGCTCGCTCCCTCCCACCTTCTTTCCCTCGCTCGCCCTCCTCCTACTCTCTCTCTCTCCCCGAGGAGCCAGCGGTCTGTGCAGAGCAGGCCTGCACGAAACCGCAGCACCACTCTCAGGGCGGGAAGAACACGGCAAAACAGCCAAACCCCATTGAGAACGAGTGCTCCAAAATAAACAAACACATACGGACGTGGAATTACGCAAATCTTTTTTTTTGTGGTGGAGAGACGGAACAAATCCGAGTCACTTTTACACTTCTTTTACACTTCTAAACTTAAATAAAATGCATTTAAGACATTCCGCCACTCACTGTGATGTCATGACCATGACGTCATAATGTTTATGATGCAACAACATGGCAAACAGCCAAACTCAGTTGAGAACAAACGCTCCAAAATAAACAAACGCATAAAGATGTGAGACAAATCCCTTTCAAGGTGTGGCGACATTAACCGTTGCTCGGCAAAATTTTGAGGGTGAATTCTAGCCATTCTAAAAGGAATCATGCTGACCAACATAAAACTGCTTGGTTTGAAAGTGACTTTTGTGTGATCTGTGCTTCATACAGCTCAACATTAACAATCAGTGTTGGGCAAGTTACTTTCAAAATGTAATACATTGTAGGCTATATTACTTATTACTGTCTTTTGAAAGTAATTAGTTACATTACAATATTACTGTCTCTGAATTGTAATGCGTTACACTACTTTTGAGTTACTTTCACTTTCAAGCACAAACCGCAATTACATTCAGAAATTATAGCGGTAAATAAAGCGTTATAAGCAGGGCCGGATTTACCTCTTATCGTGACATAGGCAAAACAATATTGTGGGCCCCCCCCTTCCTTATTAATAGGCCTATATAATATTACCACCCCAGCAAACAAAACATTTTCGTAATCAGTGGAAACCGTTACAGTGTTTTCTATCGCAATAAGTGCTTGCGTTCAGTCAATAAAAATCGTCTTAATTTGTTTGAGAATGGAGAAATACCATTCCATTAGGCTCTAGCATATGGCCACATTACCACTTCGGGAGTGCATTATTTCTCTAATAATTTTAACGGCCTGGAGTCACAACCACACATCAAGACGTTGTTAAGATGATTTAGACATTTGTCATGTTTCCGTCCTGAAATCTTGTGTGTGTTGAACTAATTTCTTGTACAACTCATAAACCATCCATTGCAATTTCCAATACGTCATTTTAGAGCTAATAACAGAGGCTTGCTAACGCAGTTATTAATGCAGTCTAACGCACTTATTAGAGAGAGAGAGATTTAGCGCGTGTGAATACCTGTGTCTGTGCATCTCCAGCCGCAGCGTCTACTAATAGCAAATATTTAAGTTGAACTGCTTCAAGAACCTCTCTACTGAGAAATGTCATGTAGCGTTTCAGCTGCGAAACTGTTTTACTGATAAATTCGCGGGGCAGCCGCAGTTCTGGCAACAAGCTGCTGTCCACGTCTCCGCGTGTGTGCGCAAGTACATGACTGTACGGTGTGTCTGTGAGAGAGAACGGGAGAAATCGTGATTTATGTACATAAAAAAGGTGGAAAACAAGGAAATAGTTTGTTATTTTTTACCCTGTTGTTTGTTATATTTATTTGCTCAGTGGGATTTTGGTTCTTTTATTGTTGTAGATAGCCCATAGTATAACAAAAATATTATATATCTCTTCATTGAGTTTGGGCCCGCCCTGGACGAGTGAGCATAGGCACGTGCCTATATCCTATGCGTAAATCCGGCCCTGGTTATAAGCCCTAATGTACAAACAATAAACACAACAGCTATAGCCTATAGGCTATTTTAGTTCTCCTCACTCCACAACAAATCCTATAAATTTAATGGTATTCAGAACAAAGCGAATGAAAAATATAAGTTGCTAAACAAGTCAAAACGAATTAATTTAACGCGAAACTGAAAGCAAACGTTAGTTAGTTACGCAGCCTACCTCTCTCATTCGGCACGAATCCAAATGTTTCCATATTCGCGATGTATTTGATTGCTAAACTATTATTTATTATGTAAACCAGGCTTTGTACTTAACGCGGATTGTACTAGGGACTATTTTAATGAATAAGTGTATCTATATGTTTGGTTGACTGTATATTGTTCGGATAATGAACAGGCTGCAACGTTTGTAATGCTGTATTGTGTGTGCGTGAATGAAAAATATAAGTTGCTAAACAAGTCAAAACGAATTAATTTAACGCGAAACTGAAAGCAAACGTTAGTTAGTTACGCAGCCTACCTCTCTCATTCGGCACGAATCCAAATGTTTCCATATTCGCGATGTATTTGATTGCTAAACTATTATTTATTATGTAAACCAGGCTTTGTACTTAACGCGGATTGTACTAGGGACTATTTTAATGAATAAGTGTATCTATATGTTTGGTTGACTGTATATTGTTCGGATAATGAACAGGCTGCAACGTTTGTAATGCTGTATTGTGTGTGCGTGATGCACCTTCGAGATCGAACAGCGGAAAATACTCCGTATTTTTTGATCATACAGATCATTAGAAACGGCAATGTGTTGACTTTTATTTTAGGATGAGCTTTCTGTCATCTTGGTTTCCTTTCCGTGAAATTGTTTGTAGAGCACCGCACCACACAAAAATGAACCAAACTCAGCAGCATTTACACACAGTCTTTTCCTTTAGTTTTGTTAATCTGTGAATTAAGTCAAATATATTTCGCGTATTCATCCTTTTTATATATAGATTATCATTTAATAAAAACAGATTTTGTTATTTTTAGTTAAACTCCATTTCTGTTGCTTGTCCGCGCTCGTCCGCCGCATTCTTTCTCTCCTCCGACCCTGCAGTTCTCACGGAATTTTATTCTGGTGCTGTTTTGCGGTGTTGGTAAATTCACCACTTAATTTTAAGTTAAAATATGTTGTTGTAACATGCGTTACCAAGAGATATAACGAGTATAATAGGCTATTACCCAAATTTTATTAGTAATGCGTTATATTACTGTGTTACAGGAAAAAGTAATATACTACTGTAATGTCGTTACTTTTGTAATGCATTACTCCCAACACTGTTAATAATGGACCTGTTTTTGCACATGGAATTTCGCTGAAAATCGCTAATTTGACCACACCATTACACTTCTAAACTTGTCACAAGTCTTGTATGTTTATCATGCAAATGACACCGCAAACATAGCCAAACCCTGTAGAGAATGAACACTCCAAAATAAACACTAACGAATGTGAAATTACACAATTTTTTTAGTGGAGAGATAGCAAAACTGAGTCACTTTGAATGTGCTGTTACATTTACCATTGTAAACATTCAACATGTTCAATCAGCAAAAATAAATGTGCAAACATTCCGCCACTGACTGTGATATCATAAAGACTATGATGTCATAATGTTTATGATACAACAACACAGCAAACACAGCAAAACCCTGTGGAGAATGAATGCTTTCAGACGTGTAAAAACTAGTGAAGTTATTAAACGTAATTTCGGGAGGAGTAGGCCCATCTAATCTTCCAATTAATATCCAAGTATAAAAACAGCCTCTTACCACTTCCATTGTTAGTTCTTTCGGCATCCCTCCTCCTCCCCATCTCCTCCTTTTATGCATATTTATTTATTTATCTTTCTGTCTATAGGGGGGGCAATCGGAGCTCAAGTAGAATATCCTCTCTGAGCCTCTCTATAGCAGACAGCAAGCCAAATCTGTTTACCACTTATGCTAAGATTATATGGGCACACAAACTCGTGAATTGCTTTTGTGGGAGACAGACATAACTTTTAAGATGCAGTAACATCTACATTTCCTTGGCATCATTTTGCGGATCGATTTCCAGTCATTCTAATAGGAATCTGCATGATTGGCAGGGTGAAAAAGTTCCCTCACATAGATTTTGTTCATGTTCAAGGTGGTCACAAAATCTCGCCACACAAACCAAAAGAAAGCTGCTTGATTTGAAAGCTGTACTGTTTATAGGGCTGCACGATAAATCGCATGCAATATTTAATGCGCATCTTGTCAGTAAAGCCAGTTCTGTAATCAGCGGTAAATCTCCATCACGTGCGTGCTTGCAGAGCCGTTGTTCACTGACAAGCTGCGCAAAAACGCGCATTAAATATCGCATGTGATTTATCGTGCAGCCCTAACTTCATACGTCGCTATATTATTGAAAATGGACCCATTTTTGCATGCGAAATTGTGCTGAAATCTCACTAATGGAACTGTACCTTTACACTTTTAAACTTGTCACAAGTCTTGTTACATTTAAGACATTCCACAACTCACTGTGAAGTCATAACATAGTCATGTTTATGATGCAACAACTGGGAATTAATCCGTAAGAGCTTTTCCTGTCCTTTATTCCTCTTATTTTTCTACTCTACCTTCTCTTTATTTTTCTCTCACTCTCTCTCTCCATGTGCAAGGCCGTAGTCAGCTCTCTGCAGTATTGATTTGTGGTGCTGGGTGATTTGGCTACTTGCTCCAACACTAGGAGTGTGTCCTCATGTGCCTTTGCTTATGTAACAGCGCAGGACTCTTTCTCCACTGAATGCTGATTAACTGTCTGGAGCTTTAGGACTCCCAGCATTCACCCTGCTACAGATGCCAACGACACTGCAGAGGCCCGAGAGCTGCACTTCACTTCGAACGCCTGCATACACGCACACACATAAGCACTCTCGGCTCTAGGGGTTGAGGGGATGGGTCATCAGGTTCACAATCCTTGGTTTTGGCACTAACGCCCTCTTCTGGTGGTTACAGAATAAGGTTACAGAACGTTCCCATCACACTTACCTTTTCCTTGAATATTTCTTTCCTATCCAGCATCTCTCGCAGGGTCTGCAGGATCTTAATACACAGCTTCTCCTCTTTCTCCATCAGTTTCTTGGTGTGTTTGATGAGTCTGAGAGAAAATATTGTATCATATTTCATACTAAACGTAATATAAATTAAGGATATCAAACTGGCCACTTGACCAGTCACATCAACTACAAATGTTTGAGAATGTGTATTCTTTGAGAACAATAGATTATGAAGGTAACAGTCCCATTAAAAGGGTAGATACATGACAAAACTGGTATTTAACGGTTGATAAAATACTTAAGGACTGAAAGTACACTACTGTCGTTTGAAGTTTGAGGCCAGTAAGATTTATGCTCACCAACGCCGTTTATTTGATTAAAAATACAGTAGAAACAATAATATTGTGAAATATTATTATAATTTAAAATAACTGTTTTGTATTTTAATATATTTAAAAAAATAATTTATTCCTGTGATGCAAAGCTGAATTTTCAGCATCATTACTGCAGTCTTCAGTGTCACATGATCCTTCAGAAATCATTCTGATATGTTGATTTGATGCTCAAGAAACATTTCTCATTACTATCAATGTTAAAAACAGTTGCGCTGCTTAATATTTTTTTTGTGTAAACCATGTTAAATTTTTTCAGGATTCTTTTGTCTTCAGTCTTCACAGTTGCTTTTGCTCAATTTAATGCATCCTTGCTATACCAAAACATTAATTTCTTTTTAAAAATCTAATAAAAACTTACTGACCCGAAACTGTTGAACAGTAGTCTACATAGTAATCAATCCATATATTTGATATCTGTAAATAAAATCAATTGATTTGTAAGCCAGATTTAAGGAAAAACTATTAAAACACCAGCCTCATATGACAATATCACATACTAACGGATTGGCAGTTTCAATTCAATAAGTATTTGAATTGTTTTTGCACAACAATTTTCCATCAGTCATGAAATTTCAATAAATGAAATGACACATATAAAATGTTTTATGTCCTAGTTGTGTATACTTATATTAGCACACCTCTTACGCAGACTTTCTGTGATTTTAGAGGTATATCTTGCTCAGGCTCAGATAATTGCTTATATAAGGCACTCAGAACCCCAGGCACATTCACAACAATCACATATATGATGCTGCTGGTATACTAATCACAGCACAACCAGGTCCAACACATACTGTATATTCAAACATGAACATATTCTCAATTACACTTAAACTGGCATTTACATGTTTTAAACCCAACCATACAACAGACAATCAGTTAAGGATGTTGCTGACGTAAAAGTTTGGAGATATATCAGAAATTCTCAGGGATTTATAATGTCATACCTATACCTATGGCTATTTTTAACACTGCCACTGGACCTGTTTAATATATTCATCGATTATGACGCACGGTTTGAATTTGTTTGACGTGGGTGTGTTTCTCACTTAGACATGAAGGCCCCATCCTCACTGCGGAGCCGAGCAGACTCAGGAAACAGCATCTCTGGGCTTTGCAGCACGTCTACTAATACAGAAAACTCTGCCTGCACCTGTGGACTAAACCGTTCCTCCAGATACACAACGACTCCCTGAAACACATACACATAACATCAAATCAAAAGTAGTAGTCAATGTTGTAGGCAAAAATCATTTAACACACAAATATTATTACTGTTATCTCATTCGACATGAATACAAATGTATGTTTTACATGCTTGATCTTAATCGCATTATATAAATCACAGCACACTTCAGATGATAAAAAAGCAACTTATATTTCATAAAATTCAGTATTTAATTCTGATTGGTCAGTTGCCTTGATAAACCTACAACTGTGTATGCGTATAACACTAACAAGTTTTAGATTTTAAGGTGACGTTACCTGTAGTTTCTCAATGATCCTGTAATCATGGGCCCCAAAGGGCTCCTTACGGGGTCGGCCGCGGGTTGACAGCTTCCAGTCTTTCACTGCACGCTGCACCATGATAGTGTGTGTCTTTAGCGACAGGGTATTGACCTGACCGTCCAGGTCCACTGGAACGGGGATGGCCCGGCTCTTAGCTAGACAGAGTTAGAGGGAGGACATGCGTTTGTAACCTTTATGCATTCTCTTAAATTTTAGCATGTTAAAACATGTTAAATGTGTCAAGAATCTCAAAGGCAAGAGTACACTTTTGTGATAATATTTTTCACACATGATTCATTTAATTTACAGGTTGAATGCCTTTTGTTTGCTGTACATCAATATCCTCATAAATACTAACTTGACTATCCAGAATTAACTACTAACCCATGGAACAAGATTACACAATTTATTATTCTAGGGTTTAAAATGGCAATTTCTATCTATCTATCTATCTATCTATCATTTATTTATTTTTAATTTTTATTACTTACTCTTTACTTAATGGCATATCTTTCCCAAATTCTAGAGGCTGAACATTTTAAATCTATTTTCCATAAAATTTCTTAATTTTAGATTTCTTTAAGTGCCCATTGCAACAATATGGAAATCTGAAGGAGGATGGTCAATATTTAAAAACATGTCAACAAAGATTAATTAGCAGGAAGCGGCTAATCCACAAACCAAACCCCTCTGTCACATGGCGGCATTCTATTTGGGTAAAGACACATCACTGCCAGATGTGAAACTTACCGACATCAGCAAGGGTTTTGATGCAACCCTCAATGTTCGTCTTCTGCAGGGAGTTGAGCCAGGTGCAGTTGTAGAGTCTGCAGGCAGACTGCAGCAGCTTAATGAAAGTTGCTTGATGGGCCTGACGAAGAGATATGAATATCTCACTGTCAACTACCATAAAGCAACATTAATATGACTGATTCATAGAGCTTAGGGAGAGAAATACGTCTCCTCTTCACGTCAGACTGAGATGAGGTGAGGTGCTCGTGAATTGAACTTTCTCGCTCTACCTGCAGGTTTGAGTTGCTGACAGAGAACTGGGAGCCGAAGAAGCCCTTGACGATGGCCATGATGGTATCAGTGACGTATTTTTCGAGGCATGTATCAGCATGCTTCCTGTCTGTGTAGCCGATAGACACCTACAACAACAACATCATCAGTTCAGGATGCTTAGCACCCACATAGCAAGCACAAATCAGTCACAGATGATCTAAACAGCTCTTTAAGCCTGTATATTATGCCTCACAATTGCGCAGGAGGGAAAGAGAGAGTTAGTTGGTGTCAGTTAACTCACCCTAGTCATGTCTACAAGGAAATTGTCGAAGAGTTTCCAAATGTGATTGCTGGTGTAGATCTCCTTCATCTCCACCTCAGTGTCCACATAGCAGTGATTCACGAAATTTACGTATGATATTTTTACCTGCAAAATATAAAAGCGATACTCAAAAAAGGCTACCTGATGTCACTTATAAAAAGTCTATGGCTTTAATCACATTTTTTGGACATGGTACTACCAGTTTTTTTATTTTTTTGGTAATGCCATGAAGTACCCTAGAGTACCAGGTAAATACCATGGTATATGTACTTGGTAATCATGTAGTACCATGGTATACAGTGGCCTTAAAAAGGTGTTCGGACAAAAAGCCACACTTTTTAAAAATAAATGATTAAACTTTTTAATTAATTAATTTTAAATTATGTTATTTATTTTATTTTCAAACCTAATTTTTTACAATAATTTTGTTGGCATATTATATCTAATGCAGTGACATTCATACATTTAAATGTGTGGCCAAAAATATATATTAAATATTTTTTTATATATTTTTGAAAGAAGTCTCTTATTGTCAACAAGGCTGCATTTATTGGATAAAAATTACAGTAAAAAAGTAATATTGTGAAATAATAATAAAAAAACAAAAAAAACAACAATAACTGTTTTCTATTTTAATATATTTAAAAATGTAAGTTCTTTAATGTCACATGATCCTTCATAAATGCTGCTAATATGCTGACTTATCGCTCAAGAAACATTTATTTTTATTAACTAGGTTAAAAAAGGTTGTGCTGCTTGATATTTTTGTGTAAACTGTGATCCATTTTTTCAGTTCAAAGTTCAAAAGAACAGAATTAATGTGAGATATAAATCTTTTGTTACATTCTAAATGTCTTTACTGTCAACTATGATCAATTTAACGTATCCTTGCATAACAAAAGCATTAATTTCTTAAAAAAAAAAATTACTGACCCCAAACTTTTGAACAATACTGTATTTTGTCTATTGTATATCAAAGCATTATGGTCTTTCCATCTGACACCATCACGGTTTCACATTTTCAACATCTATTTTTTGTAAGGATCAATACTGTACATGTTCTTGAGAGTTAACTTTTAACTTGTGATGCACAGTAATAGCGTAAGCAAACATTCTGTTCTCCATTATTAGACAAATCTCATTAGATAACTTATAAAAGCATAATTACAACATAACAGCTCTAGCACTTTTCAAATATGCCATGGTGAGCTTTTCAAGAGAACATTCAGGTAGGGTTAATGTTCCATCACCTCTGGAATGCAGCCTTCGTACGTGACCACTTTGACAATATCATCAAGCGGCAGAAGTGAGTTGCACTTGAGCTCTGTATCAACGTTCTTGCCCTCGGTGCAGGCTGCCAGCAGCTCCACCAGAGTGATGTGGTACGCCAGAGCATCGTTCTCATCTCGCTTAGACGACATCATATTTTGCAGCACAGGGAAGGAGGCACGGTCATTGTAGAAAACCAACACGTCTTCTCCTCCGTTCACCAGCTACGGTCCAAAACAAACACAATGTCTGATTTAGCTCTACAAACACATATAAAGTTACTCTTCTGTGAATGGAAGTCTATATGGGCAATTAGTGGAGTGCGATAAAAGACTGAGTATCAAAATGTCATCTAAATTACTAACTAACTATAATAAAATAATTTTTAAATATATTATTAATTATTATTATTATTATTTAAAAAATGTGTACAAATATTATTTTAATATTATGAGTATTATAAACATGATTGGCTTTGAATCTGAAGTGCACATACCTCCATCATGCATTAAATTCAAATGTATCCTTCTCACCTCATTCATGACTTTGCATTGACATTCCTTCCCGTATTTGCCATCGGCTTTCACAATGGTTTGGAGGAACTGCAGGTACTGCACGTGACGGCCGTGGGTCTCGATGCAGTGCACGAAGTGATGCACCACGCGGTCGCTGATCTCGTTGCACAGGTGGTAGTTGTTCCTGAAGATGTAGCACATGGTTTTTGCCTCTAGACGCTGAGAGAAGCAAAGAGAGAATCAAATAAAATATTATCAGAATTCCAAATAATCTATTATTAATAGCAAGGACATGTAATGCTCATTAGCAGTGTCCTCAGTTGAAATCAAGTCCCCGGTGAAACGCACCCCAGGTGTGAGGAAGAGGTTGAGGTGTTTGTGCAGCAGCGCCTGGTTCTGAGGATTATCTCTGCAGAAGTACTGAAGGAAAGTGTGGGCTAGAATCATGATCTCGTCCATCTTTTCGTCCCCCTAAAGATGGAGCAGCAAGAGTTTGGCAGCATAAGGACCTCAATTAAAATAATCTCCAAGTCTAGATTCATTTTACAGCACTATATGATAAGGTTATGATTTATGGTTAAACCTCTTCTAAATTAATGAACAAAATTCGCTAGTGCCTGGTTGTGGAATCTATAAAATACTGAACAGATCATATAAGCATTTAAGTAACGTCCACTCACCTTCTCATACGGGATCTGGAGGAGGTCTAGCACCACAGTGTGAGCTCCCATGTTCTTCAGCAGCCTCTGCTGCTGCACACGGATCTTCTTACCAGGAGAGCAGAGTTTACTAAGACTCAGCAGGATCTACGTAACATCAGACACAAAATCACAAGTTTTATACTCTTTTCTGTCTCTGAAATTTTTCCTCTTTAGAGCTGAGGAACATTGTGTGAAAAAGTTCCCACCTCTTTGACAATTTTGTAGTTGTTGGCTTTGTTGCTGTCTATTTGAGGTTTACTGCTCCCATCCTGCACTGGGCTCAAGATACCCACTTCCTGTAAACCAGAAATTACACTCAGTCAGGTATTACCACTCATATTGCTTTTCTATGACCAATACTCATACAGATTATTAAGTGTCTCATAACAGATATGCATAACCACTTAACTCTTTTTTTCTGCTTCAGTATTATTTGAATATTATTTATATATTACTATTATACTTAGCTTTTTACATTTTTGGTTTTCAATTTAAATTTTGTTTAAAGGAACACTCCACTATTTTTGAAAATAGGCTCATGCTTGCAGTGTTTCTCCTGCCAGTAGGTACATACCTCCAAATTCTGCTCTTTGTTTTGATTCTCAGCATTGTCTTCATTGCCATAACCTCCACTCTTCTCGACCCACAGCTCAGACTTTTCCACTGTCAGACGCAGCTGGTCCAGGCTTGCCTTAATTTTCTTATAATTTTCCACATCCTCCTCAGAAACCAGCAAGATGAGGTGAATAAGCACCCGCAGAAACGTCTGACCGCCTTCATCATCGAGGTCCACAGAGTTCCTCTCCTTAGCACTGTGAACACAACAACACAAGATCTGATTCAAAAATGACGGCAATCATAACAGAAAGTGTTTACATACAAGTCCTAAAGACAACACAGCAAAAAATAGCTAGTTTAATTGTAAGGGTCTGAGACGGTGGAAAAAATGCTCCAGGATGACAGATATTTAAAATGTGGGCTGGTAAATTACCGAAATATAATCTAGCAGAGTTTATTGTGTTAGATTATATTGGGCATTGTTTACAGCTACTTGATGGTGATTTGATTATATATTAACAGTCATGTTTGTTCATGTTGTTTGTTTTAATTCATTCAGTTTAAGTATCTGACAAATAGACAGCACACTGCTTCTTTTTATTGTAAAAATAAAATCCCACACAAACGTAAAAATTCAATGAAAAGAAAAAAAAAATCAATAAAAAGAAGGTTTATTTACACTACAGATCAAAATTTAAGGCCAGTAATATTTTTGGTTTGTTTAAAAAAAAAAACACACAATTTTTACATTGTTACAAAAAAATCCATTTCAAATAAATGCTGTTCTTTTGAACTTTCAATTAATCAAATCCTAAAAAAGGCATAACGATTTCCACAAAAATATTAAGTAGCACAACTGTTTTCAACATTGATAATAATAAGAAATGTTATTTAGCATATTTTAGCATAGAATGATTTCTGAAGGATCATGTGACACTGAAGACTGGAGTAATGGTGCTGAGAATTCAGCTTTGCCATCATATAAATAAATAATATTTTAAAATATATTAAAATAGAAAACATTATTCCAAACGTTATTCCAAATGTTAACATTATTTTACAATATTATTGTATCGACAGTCTGACTGATACTGAATCGAGCATCACAATGGTTCAATCATATTATAAACACCAAACACAAAAAACAAACATATTTCAAGAAATCATTCA